GGATTGTAATACTGAAGATACTAGAAGAAAGTATATATCAGAAACTTTAGTTTGTTGGTCAGAAATTTATCACTTCTTTTACTTTAATTTCTTTTAGTTTCTTGTAGTTGATCCAATATATTGCCTATTTTTAGGCATAGCTAAATAGATTGTTAAATTATAGATTAACAAAGATTTTTTTTATTATTATTTATTATTATTATTATTATTATTTATTATTATTATTTATTATTATTATTATTATTATTATTTTTCTTTTATGAGTAAACATCCTATTAATATAACTAGAGTGGCTACTGATTTTACAAGTTATGTGAGTTGTACTACTAGTAGCAATTGTTGTAAAAGAATCAATAGTGCTATTATTAGAAAATTTTTACATATTGTATATACAATATATAAAAATTTTTTAGTAATAGCACTATTAATTTGTTTATAAAAATTGCTACAAGTGGCACAACCTATATGGTGCAAGAAGCCTAGAACTGACATCACGTGACTATTATGGCCAAAATTCTAAGGTGGTACAAATCATATGATTAATTAATTATCTAATTAAATTTCACAAATTAGTTACATATGATTGGTCAGATATAGACTTAGTGCTGGAGTTAGCTCTTTTTAGATCTTGTAGGGGTAAAATTGTAATTAGCTAGATTACGTAATTGCAAGTTATGAAATATAGAAGTTTATTTATAACAATGAAATTTTACAATCTATTGTGACAAATCAGTAATATAATAATGCATGAAAGCAAATGAATAAATAAGGTTCAATCTGTAAGATCGAACCCATTCTTGAGTTCATTTATGAAGAAGATTCAAAGTGTTGGAATAAGAAGCAAAATACTATAATAAAGCGAGTGCAAGATATAGCACAAACTCTGTAGACTTGAGTCCCACAATATATAGATCCAGAAGCCTCAGTATTCATAAGGTCATAAAGTAAACCTGCTATAAATCCCTGGTATTCATAAGGTCATAAAGTAGGCCTACTTATTTTTTTTTTTTAAGAAAAAAAAAAATTAGACTAATAAATCCTTAAAAAAAAAAACACGAAAAAACATCAAAGCCATTACAACAAAATTGTGTAAAGAGATTACAGTTTTAATTTTTATTGGATTTAAACCATATTACTATTATGCCTTCTCAAATAAAAGAAAATGCCAACTTGAGGCTGCAAGAAAATCAAAAGTTGAGCATGTGCATTTAAAAAAAAGTAAGACAATACACAAAGATAATGATTTATTAGATTATGAATTAGTTGATGAAGAGCTTGACGATCATATTTGAGTGGATGAAGAAATCGATAAAAAGCTGATAGTTACTTTGAAGTTTTACTAGCAGCTGCTAGAAATAATAATACTTGGAAAATTGTAGGTAGACCTACTTATAATTATGGTGATTCTGGAAGAACATTAAGATGAAAAAAAGCTAAACTAAAAAAAGCTGTGCAAAACACAAAATTTATTACTTCTTACTTATCTAAATTTTCAGCTGCAGATATAGCAGTACAATTAATGGAGACAAATTTGGTTGATGAGGCTATAGATACAATAGTGATTAATGAGTATGGAGATACAATAATAGTCGATAATACTGTAGATTCAGTAATGGAATCTGCAGAAATAAATATGAACAATAATAAAGCCTGTATGAAACAAGCAATTGAGAAATTAGACAATATGTTAGAAAAGAACAGTAAACAAGTTGATAAAGGAACTAAGGTTCATTTACAAGTGGCATTACAATATTTGTGTTTGAGATATCAAGATTGGACTAAAATAAATTTAAGTGCGATGATTGCTGTGTTATTAGGCTGGGGAGCTTACAAAACAAGATGTATTTGTATATGGGGTAATGAGTGGTTGAGGTGGCAAAAATTACCAAAAGAGAATCATGGCAAGCACGTGAAAATAGCAAGCCTTATTGATGATGAAATAATATCGATAAAGGTAAAAAAAAAAAATTGCTTTACTTTTAAATGCAATTCCCAATTCTTTGCTTACCAAAGATTCTATTTTAAATAGATAATATCATATTTACAATACAATAAATTTAGTGTGAACCTCAAGATTCTAAAAGAATTTGTAGAAAATGAAGTCTTTCTATCTTTAGGTATTGAAAAAAATGACTATAAGTGAAAGGACCGCATTAGAATGGCTTAAAAAGTTGGGGTAAAGTTATAAAGAATGGAAAAAGAATGTATATGTTGATGAGTATGAACAGAAGGATGTGGTACAGTATCAACAAGAAGTTTTTTTACCCATAATGGCTGAGTTAGAACCTCTTCTTATTGAATATGATAAAAATGATTTAACAAAATTAGTTAAAAAAAATATTCCTCTTAATCAAAAGCCGCATTGTGTAGTAACACATGATGAGACAACATTAGCCACTAATAATGATAAAAAAACTGAATAGGGGCCTGAAGGTTTGTGTTTTTTAGGTTAATTTGTTTGGTAAAATTAATTTTTATTTATTTATTTATATTTTTTTTTTCAAAATAGGTGAACAAAAATTATGTCCAAAGGGACGAGACAGATGTATTCATGTTAGTGAATTTTTATGTGAACTTTTGGAGCATGTTTATTTAACTGTAGAGCAACATTTAGCCCATCCAGAAATTCCAAATAGATATGTTACAGAGACTTTTGAGGTTGGTGTAAACCATGATGGTTATTGGAATATTCAGTTGCTTGCTGAACAACTTAAATAAACAATTGATATTTTGGAAATTGCACTCCCAGGTACAATTTTTATATTTGGATTCGATAACAGTTCAAATTATAGTGCTTTTGCTAAAGATTCATTAGTAGCAAGCAGAATGAATATAAAATATAGTGGCAAGCAACTACGAATACGTCCTGGTCAATTATCTGATAGTATATCTCAAGAGATGGTTTTTCTACCTGATTATAAAAATGTAAATAAAAGAGGACAATCAAAGGGAATAAAATAAGTAATAAAAGAAAAAAATATTTAGAATCAACAATTAAGGGGTAAATGTATTAAGTGCTTAGAAGATGAAGAAAAGATTTGTTGTAATATGAGGAAGTTAGCAAGACAGCTAAATTTTATGGAGCAAAAAAATGTTCTTGAGGATATTGTGTATAGTTGAGGTCATAAAATCGTTTTTTATCCTAAATTTCATCTAGAATTAAACTATATCAAGTATTTTTGGGGTGCAATAAAAAAATATGCAAGAAGTCATTGTAATTACACGTTTCAAGAGTTACAAAATACTGTACCAGAAGCTCTTGATTCTGTAGATGTTATAACAATCTGGAAGTTTGCAAGAAGAGCATGGTGATATATAGATACTTATAGAAAAGGATTATCACTTGCTGCCACCGAATTTGCTGTAAAAAAATATAAATCATATCAAAGGATCCCTGAAAACATTGTCCCTTAATTGTTGTTACAAATTGATAAAATTGCTCTTAGGTACTTTAAATATCATTTATAATTAAATTTTTATTTTTGAAATATAGATTTTTTCACAATATTTTAATTCACAAAATTTAAAATACAGTTAAAGAAAGTTATTTTAATTAGTCAAAAATAGGATATTCTAACCAAGTAAGTTTTTCAATATATAGTTCAGATTATTTTTTTATAAAGTTACACTATTACTAAAATCTAAAATCTGCATTTCTAGCATAATGCAGTGTTTTATGACAAAATAGTTAAGGATCAACAAAAAAAAAAAAGAAAAAAAAAGGAAAAAAAAAATAAAAAAAAATAAAAAAAAAATAATATATTGCAAGCAAATAAA